TTTTAATTTATTTCAAAGTATTTTCTGATTTCCCTTATTTACTCTCTGACCCATTGAGTATACAGGAATGTGTGTTTAAATTCTATATTCTTTTCAAATTTTCCTTTACATTTTTAATATGGTACATAGTTGAGAAGGATGCATGCCCATGTGGGCTTCCAATTAGGGTGGGGAGGATCAAAATATGGAACAAGGTGGGTGGAACAAATGTTTCAGTTTTTCTTTTTTCTTCTGTGTCTGATGGGGAAAGGGTGCAGAAAAAGAAGGGGCCATTCCTTGCGAACAAACTACATCTATACCCTGAGATGGAGTATGGTCATTTGATGACATCTTAGAGATTTAGTTACAGCAACTGTGGTCATTTGTGGACTGAACCAGCAGATGGAAGATCTTTCTCTTTGTCTCTGTTTCTCTCCGTAAATCTGATCTGCCATCCCAATAACAATAGATAAATCTTAAATTAACATCTTGTTTATTGGCCTGGGATTAGGATTATCATCATATCTTCAAGTAATCTAGATTAATACCAATTTAATTTAAATATTATACAATAGTTTTATTTCAGCATTACTTGTTTTATACTTTATACCATTATACATTTAAGATCCTCAGTACACTTATTGATGAGCATTATTTTCAAGTCAGATAAGTTAGAAGGCCTTATGTTTAGTTTAGAAGTTAGAACACAAACTAGAATACCTGTGTCCCACACTGTAGTATCCAGGTTAGATACCCAGCTCTGACTCCTGGGCAGCTTCCTACTAATACAGACTGTGATGTTTCATGTAAATCAGTCCCTTATTCACAAGCAACCTGGATGGCTCTCCTGGCTCTCCTGCTCTCCTGGATTGCTCTCCTGGTACAATGCTGGTCATATGGGCATTTGGAAAGAGTCAGTTATAGGAAATTCTGTTTCTCAAACAAAAATAAACAAACATTTGGAAAATTTAAAGATTTTTAATGCTATTTTAAATTACCTACATAGTTAACATTTTGCTGTTTTTATTTTCTTGTGTATGCCTCAATTACTGTGTAATATTTATTCTAGCACAAATCATTCTTTTTAGTATTTCTTATAGGATAGATTTGTTAATTATGAAATATCAGATTTTTACAAAATCCTTGAAATTGATTTCTTCATTTATAAAAAATATTTTATTTGAAATGCAGGATTAGGGAAAGAAAAGGAAAAGAAAAAGGATGGAGTAGGTAGAGGGAAGAGGGTAACTGAGAAATTTTGCATCAGCATGTTAACTGCCCGAATGCCTACAGCTGCCAGTGCTGTGCAGGCTAAAGCTGTGAGCCAGGAATTCTCTCCAGTTATCCCATGAATGGCAAGCTCTCAATTCCTTCAGACATTGTAGGCTGCTTTTCAGGTTGTAACTGGTGGGCATTCTGTGCCTGGTTGATACCAAAGTTATATTAACTATACCAGTGTACTGGCATAAATGCCTATTCTACTTTTTTTAAATTAAAATATTTGGGAAGGCAGGGAGCTTCAGACCAGGACATGGCACCCTTTCCCCCAGGTGGAGGCAGTGGGATGTGTTGCAGGTTCCTTGGGGAAAGGGGCCTGGGACCTATTGGTTTAGTTAATGTCATGTTTTACAGGAGAGGAATGACTTCTGGGTCTCCCACAGACAGGGCCACTCCACTTAGAGGTAGAAGAGCGAGCTAAAATGGAGTGGTTTAGATAGGGAGAAACCAGAGGGCATGAGTCGGGTCAAGGAACCCACCCATGTGGGTGACCTGGGCTGACCCATGTAGAATCACCCACTGTGCATGTGGAAGCTGGGGCTGGGAGACATGTCTGGTTGATCTAGGCCTCAGTGACTGCCTGAGTGTCAGAGCAGAGGGTTGGTCAGGTCAAATGGGCTGCAGTGACCAGCAAAATGTGAGAATCAGATCTGGGTGCAGATTCTATAGGGGTCTTGTGAGTTTATCTCTGTGCGACAATAGCATCCACTGAGCTGGGAGTGGTTCTACCAAGTTCTATTAATGTTTTAATTATTTAAGAAATGATATTGACTAAGATGAGCATAACTGCTTTTATAGGTCATCGATTTGTCAGTATTGTTTATTCTAGATAAATTTGATCGTGTGTTTCAATATCTGAAATATTTCTTATGGTATCCATAATTTAGACAATAATAATCTAGTAAGTTCCTGTTGAATGCTAGGAGGCATAAAAGGAAGCAGAAAGCTTTGTTATTCTAACAATTTGTAGTCTGTTTTAAACTTTTTATTAAAGACCAGTTAGTTCTAGCTTTCATTTTGACTTGAAATTTGGAATATTACCATAACAGACCTTTTTAAGCAATGATGCTTCTGAGTTTTAATCATACTTATATTTAGAGTTGTGACTGAAGCTCTATCAATAATTGCACATTATATATAACTATACAGGGATATCTCTATGGTTTATTCTGCTACAAAAAAAAAACATTGAGATACCTTCTAGCATGTAACACTATTTCTAATTTTTTAAATTTCCTTTTTAAAAAACGATTGTCTAGTGACAACCTTTGAAGTTCCCTCTCTAGTGTATTTTCAAAAATTTGTAAATCTATATGCTTACTCAAAAGTCAGAGCTACAGAGCGGAGGAGAATTAGTTTGATCTCTGATTCCCTCCAAATTCATTCTTCTGGCATAAGGAACCAGGAATTCTTTCCCACGTGGGTGATAGGACCCAGGTGCTTGGAAAGTCTCTTACTACTTTCCTAGGTGCATTAACAGGAAGCTGGATCATAAACAGAGCAGGCAAGGCTCAAATCATCCCTTCACTATGGGATGCCTGTACTATAAGCCGTGCTTTAACCTGTTTTGCCACAATCCCATCCCCCAGTTTACAAAGTTAGCAGGTATATTTTATTTAGAAAACTAGAGAATTTTTAGGTGTTTTTATTGTTCTGAGAAATTTCCCAGGTTTTCAAATTCTGATTTCAATTTTGGTTTCGACTACACTTTAGATCATAGATGGTAGCCTATAGGTGAGAATTTCTAGGGCAGATATGGCTAGGTTTACTGTACCAGAAATAAGACTAAAGTAATGCTAAAAAAAAAATAAGGATTACATTTAAATTTATTCATTTGAGAGACAGACTAAGTGATGGAAAGAGACAGAGGGAGATCTTTCTTCTGTTGGTTCATCCCCTAAATCCCTACAATAGTTGGGGCTGGACCAAACCAAATTTTGGAGCTAGGAAGCCAATCTGAAGCCCAGTTACTTGAGTCATCATTTGTTGCCTACTGAAGTGCACATTAGCAGGAAAATATAATTGGTAGCAGAACATGGACTCAATCCCAGGCACTCCTCAATGGAATGTGGTATCCCATGTGGTATATTAACCATTGAACCAAATGTCTTTAGCCTAAAATTTAAGACTTTGGAGAGGTGATTGATTCTCTGAAGTTTGGTAGCCTCATCATGCCCAGCTAAAGATTCTTTTTTATAAATGCTTCACTTTCTATTTCTGTGTAGACTGGTTTCAGAAGAGACAAGATATATACTTTCTGTATGATTCTAGCCCTAACATAAACTGAAAGAAAAAAAACAACTTTGAATTGTTAAGTACATGTTCAGCCAGTAGTTACAGCACAATGAAGAATCTTTTTCTTGAGATACATTGAAAATAACTCTATTAAATTTGCTCATATGGCACTTGTGATTTTTTCAAATGCTTTCCAACTACTTCATTTGTAAATTAGGTTCATTTAATAATGAACAAAACAGATGAGAAATAGGGACACATAGAGCTTCTTTAAACAACAATCAGTTGATGAACATTTGGGTTGGTTCCATATCTTTTCTATTGTGAATTGAACTAAAACAAACATTAGTGTACAATCAGTACCCTTACATACTGATTTTATTTTATTTGGGTAAATTCCCATGAGTGGAATGGCTGGGTTACATGGTGTATTGATTTTCAGATTTTTGAGGAATCTCCATATTGGTCTCCCATCATTGTACTTATTAACATTCATGTCAACAATGTATTAACAAATATTTGCCCCACATCCTCACTAGCATTTACTGGTTTTGAGTTTCAGATGATAGTTATTCTAACGCGGGTGAGGGGAAAAGCTCATTGTGGCTGTTGCTTCCCTTTCCCTGGTGGATTGTGATGCTGTGTGTTTTTACATGTGTCTATGGGCCATTTGTATTTCATCTTTGAAAAGTGCCTGTTCATGTCCTTTGTCCATTTGTATTGTTTTTGTTGTTGAGCTCATCATACATCCTAAATATTATTCCTTTATCAGTTGCATAGTTTTCATATATTTTCTCCCAGTCTGTTGGTTGTCTCTTGACTTTATTGATCGTTTCTGTTGCAGTGCAGAAATTTCTTCAACTTGATCTAATCCCGGTTGTCTATTTTTTGCTTTAATTCCCTGTGCTTTCAAGATCTTTCCAAAAAGTATTTCCCTGTGCATTTATTAAGCAGTTTTCTGATTTTTGTCTTTACAATTTTATTTTTATTGGAAAGTCAGACATACAGAGAGGAGGAGAAACAGGAAAATCTTCCATCTACTGATTCACTCCCCAAGTGGCAGCAAGAGCTGGAGGTAAGCAAATCTGAAGCCAGGAGCCAGGAACTTCCTCTGGGTCCCCCACGCGGGTGCAGGGACCAAGGCTTTGGGCCATCCTCGACTGCTTTCCCAGGCCACAAGCAGGGAGCTGGTTGGGAGTGGAGTAGCTGGGACACGAACCAGCTCCCAAATGGGGTGTAAGTGTGTGCAGGTGAAGGGTTAGCCTGTTGAGCCATGGCACTGGCCCCCATATTTTAAAATATTCATAACCATTTTGTTTCACCCTCAAAAGTGGCAGGGAGTCAACACGGAAAACTGGGGTCTTTTATTAGGGGTTAAGGGCAGGGTGTCAAACGAGAACAAAGCAGAATGAAGCAAGTGTTGGTGCTGGAGATCCACTGAGAGCAGAGCAGCTCATCGTGGAAGACTAAGCAGGTGTCCAGCAGGTGCCTAGCCTGCACAGGAGCCATCAGGGTGTGCCCAGGGGAACTGTGAAGGAGAGGATGTCCTCAAGGACGCCCCAGCGGGGCAGGCAGATTTGGAAGAGATGGTGATCCAGATGGTGAGCGCGATTACAGAAGAGTAAGGCAATGCCTGAACGCCAGACATAGCCTTTGATCTGGCTCTGCTTGGTGTAGGCCAGAGCAAGGAAGGCCCCCTCGGAAGAACCAGAAAATGTTTTTTTTTTTTTTAAAGATTTATTTATTTATTGGGAAGTCAGATATACAGAGAGGAAGATCTTGCGTCCGATGATTCACTCCACAAATGAGCGCAAAGGCTGGTGTGGTACCGATCCGAAGCCAGGATCCAGGAACTTGTTCCAGGTCCCCCACGTGGATGCAGGGTCCCAAGGCTTCCAGAACCAGAAAATGTTGACCAGCTGGAGAAAAGGCAGGAAAGCGAACCCTCCCAGGTAGCACTTACGGCATAGGTTCAACTTCTCCGCATTGGCTACCTGCTCCATGAGTGTCAGAGCAGGGTTGGGGAGGGCAGAACTGAAGCTTGAACCCTTCAAGTGGCAGACCCCAGGGGCACGAAGAAGAGAGTGGAACTTTACTGATGTTTTTCTTTAGTAATTTGATATCATGTCATATACTTAGATGCTTGATTTATTGTGAGTTAATTTTTTGTGTAACATGTAAAGTAGGGGTCTTGTTTGAAACTCCTGGATCTGTAGATACCGTTTTCCCCAACACATATTGTTAGAAAGACTTTTCTTTCTCTAAGGTTTGATTTCTGGTAATTTGTTAAGGATTAGTTGGCTGTAGATGTGTGGATTAATTTCCAGAGTTTCCATTCTGTTTTTTTGATCTACTTGTCTATTTTTGTGACAATATTAGACTGTGTTCATTATAACTGTCCTGCAGTATATCTTAAAGGCTGGTATTGTGATGCAATTTTTGTTTAAAATTTTGAATATGTTTATAAATACTTTTATATAATATATATTATATAACATTAATAACATATTTGTAAATATGTTACATGTCATATAAATAAACTATATGGTATATATTAATAGTTAATATATAAATATATTTATAAATACTTTAAAAAATTTTAAATTTTGTTATTTGGAATCTCTTATGTTTCTATATGAATTTTAACATCTTTTTTCTAGATCTTAGATGAATGTCCATGGTATTTTGATTGGGATTGGTTTGAATCTGTAAATTGCTTTTGGTAGTAAGGACATTTTAAATGGTATTCTTCCAATCCTATAGTATGGAAGATTTTCCCCATTTTTAGTGTCTCCCATTTCTTTTTTTTAAAATAATTTTTAATTTTATTGCAGATAATTTTCACCTCCTTAGTTAAATGTATTCCAAGATATTTAAGTGGTTCTTTTTTTTTTTTTTGTAGCCATTGTGAATGGGACTGATATTACACATTATTTCTCAGCTGTGACTTTGTGCAAAGATGATTAATTTTTAAGTAAATTTTATGTTCTGATACTTTGTAAAATTATATAATAAGTTCCAATAGTCTATTAGCACACAGTACTTAAATTGCTATGGATTTAAACCTAATTGTTGTACCCATCATATAGTATAGTCAGCTAAGCCACAATTGTCCATGCTGAGATACCATTTGGGTGCTGGTTCAAGTCCCAACTGCTCCAAATATGATTTATCCACCTGCTAATGGCCTGGGGAATACAATGGAACATGGTCCAAATGTTTGGACCCATATACCCAAGTAAGAGACCCAAATGAAAACTCCTGGATCAATTTCAGGCTGTCCACCCCCAGTAGTTGCAGCCATCTGTGGAGTGAAAAAGTAGATGGAAGGTTCTGTCTTTTTTTCTCTGCCTCTCTCTCTCCCTTTCTCTCTGAAATTCTGGTTTTCAAAAATAATGCACAAATATCTTCTTTAGTAAAAACCTAGTTTTTTCAGGTGCAGGTCCATAAAGTCTAGTAGTCATGCCACATTCTTTGAATTAGGCCTCATTCACAATATAATTGGCAAAATGTTGTCAGTTAGCCTTTGCTTGACTGATTCAAAACTCACAATAGATATTTGAATTTTACCAGGTGAAGTGTAATGGTGATAAATCATTTTTCATACCGGTAGACTTTTTACAGTACACTTAAACATCATCTGTAGATATCTTTTAGAGAAATAGGAATGTGAAAAATATGCTGGTAGACACCTGCTAGTTTTTTGTCCTTAAACAAGCAATGGTCAGCAAGAATTTTAAGAAGTAGCATTCCAGTAACAAGTTATGAAAGTTGCAAAAGAAATAATTACATGAGATACCTTCTGAGAGGTTGTTGTTTTTGTAAACTTAAGCTTTTAGATGACCCTTGCATAAAGTATATCCCAATTTGATCTAACTTGGCTGTGGTTTTTAATGCCATATACAAACAAAAATTTAGGCTAAAAAATGAATGATTGTAAGTTACAAATGACATAATGGGAAAGCACACAGAGTCAACATACTGAAATGTTTTTGCTTATTTATACCAAACAGTTATAGAAATTATATAGATGTAGTATGTAATGACTGTAAATTATACACCTTCTGTAATAGTTCTATTTAGTAACCTTTATCCTCTACTATGAATAAATCTTTTTCCAGAAGTGGAATGGAAGTATAAAAAAGAACCAAAAAGTTCATATTGCCACAAATTAGATAGTTTTGTATATAGATCACTCTCCCCTTTATTTTGAGGAAATGTACATACCTTCCATTTTGTACCAGTAGAGAATATTTGTGTTTTACTTTCTTTTTGTAGTCTTTCATCATTCTTGATAATATGGCTTATATTATTGCTATTTTCAGCAGCTGCTCATCAAATCTTTCCCCTTTAATTAATTCCTCTCCATTAATATTGACATAGAAAGCTGATGGGATAAACAGCTGTGATGTTAAATAAAATTGAGATGTTTTGTTATAACCTTTGAGTGCTTTTTGATCTTTGAAATTGTGAAAGGACATTTAAAAATATACAAAAATGGTACAAAACTATTTTCTGATACTTTGCATCTCTTTTGGAAAAATATATATTTTCCTTGTACAATGAAACTTGCAAATTGTTTTGCTAAAGTAACTTTTGAAGGATTAAAAAGAAATGTGCACCCACCATGGGGAGAGGATTCGGGGAGGGGTGGGGGGAATCCCAGTGCCCATAATACTGTGTCACATAATGCAATGTAATTAATAAAAAAAGAAAAGAAATGTGCACAATTTTCAGACGTCCATTACAGGGAAATGGAAGGAGAACTGCTAAAAAACTTGACCACATACTTTTTTCTAGTCATGAATCTAGACTCTCCATGAATGAATTTTTCGTGGGAAACAGGAAGACTTATGTCTGTGCTATTTCCTAAGCATTTTTGACACAGTGAATTGGAAAGGTAACAAATATTTAATAAATTTTGCAATAAAGATGTAATCAGTGTAGGTAGATAAAAAATATGAACAAAAACACACAGCTATCCAAACATTTTTTATAAGTACAAGTTTATTTAGCCTTTACTATCTTAAAATTCTAAAGTTTGTTTATCTGTTTTTCTAAGCTCTCTTTGCAGAATCAAAATGAGGATGATGAAAGTATAAAGATTTTAAAAAAGATGCTTTGCATTTTCTAAAAGAAATTTAATGACAAAGTAAAAACCTCCTTGTTTAATTTTTTCCTGAGAGTACAATGGGTATGTTTTTACTCAGCCAGTATGATCATCAAAGAAGCTTAGATTTTAGTGAAATTGGTATCTCAGGGATTCAAAAACAGGTAAAAATTATCTCCATTTTTTGTGTCATACATCAAAATCCAAGCAGCATCTCTACTTTGTGTAGTTTGAAAGTATGTGATATGCAATGTTAAAACATCAAAGCCATTTTATATTTCATTTGCTAAGCTTCCTGAAACATGAGTAGAGTCTATAAAAATGTAAAATAATCTAAAGACAGTAGTTACCAGTATTAACACGGATGGATAATTCACAATTTTCTATTAGTATTATTGAACACAATATTTCAAGAAACTTAAGGACAAGGGAAAACCAGCCAATGGGTGTGGACTGCAGCAGGATTATGGATAAGAAAGCCCTGACCCACCTTTAGGAGGCAGAAAGGCACTTCATCTTCAAAGAAAATGTATCATTTTGTATTGAAAGCATTTCTAGATGCCATCTTTTTTCTTTAGTTCTGCATTTATTGAATGGGAAAAATAGAAATCTTAGTCATGGTCCATTTCTGTCACCTGTGTGATAGTGGACAAATATGTCACTGATTTTTCTTACCTATAAATGAAGATTAGTTTAGGATCTCTTTAGCCCTTTCCAGTTTTAAACATACAGGAATCTAGAAGAATTAAAAGAAAAATAGTTTTGAGCAGCTCATTCCGCATATGACCCTGGAGTAACCTTTTAGAAACAGCAGTCTCTAGGATTTCAGCATCCTAGATGTATTTATGGAATGTTAGATATATATCTTTCCCCAGGAAGATTTTCCAGGACAATCATCTCCTGCAGACTTTGCTTTTAAAAATCTTATTTTATTTACTTATTTATTACTTATTTATTTGAAAGTCATATACACAGAGGAGGAGAAACAAACAAAAAAAATTCTTCCATCTGATGATTCACTCCCCATGTGGTCGCAATGGCTGGAGCTGAGTCTACCCAAAGCCAGGAACCAGAAGCTTCTTCCGAATCTTCCACAAGGGTGCAGCAACCTAAGGCTTTGGACCATCCTGAACTGCTTTCCCAGGCCACTAGCAGGGAGCTGGATGGGAAATGGGGCTGCCAGGATTAGAACCAGCAATCATATGGGATCCTGGTGTGTTCAAGGAGAGGTCTTTAGCTGCTAGGCTATGACACCAGGCTCCAGACTTTTTTTTAGCAATAACATTTGATTTTATTGTTCTATCAATTGTATTTTTATTTCTATTTCATTTCTTGACCTGCTTATCAAATAGTGTCACTTTTCTTTTTTCTTCCTGTCTTTTTCCTTTTCCTTTTCCTCTCCTTTCCTTGTTTACATAGCTGAGAGCGATGCGTGACCATGTGGGCCTCTGTTTAGGGCAAGGAGGGTCAGGTATGGTGAAAAGTGTGTAGGAAACGTATTTCAGATTTTTTCTTCTTCTATGTCTGCAGTAGAAGAGGGGGAGAGAGCCATTCCTTGTTGTCAAACCACATTAGTACCCAAGGATTAGGAACAGTCTTTTGATGCCCTAGTGACCCTAATGTGGGAAAGAGTATTCCAAAGTTGTTACTTGAGTGATTTTGATAGCTCTGAGTCATTGTGGTTTTAATTGTTCCAGGGTTGAGAAAATGCAAGGTCTGTTGGCTGACAAAGTCCACCTTAGTATATTCACCAACCCAGGAACATGTTGTAAAGCTTTTCCAGGAGAATTGTCTAACATGTTCTGCTTTCCATCCTCTGACAGGGCACTTAGCCAGCTCATCTAGACCTATAGGGGATGTCAGTCATGTCCACCATGTGCATCTGGGCATGCT